TCTTGAGTTATTTTTAGACATAGTAACCAGCCTCTTCCGAGAATGTTACTCGCGCGATGCGTGGACAGCCCACGCGACTTTCTCGCAACTTTCTGAGACTAAATGGCGGGAAAAATGTTCAAAAGTCATTTTATATGTTTTAATTAATTTTCAAAAGACATTTCATAGCACAGAGTTTTTCTGCACTTTCAGCCGCCTTCTTGACAGCTAGAGTGCGTTTTCCTGCGGAGACTTTGAAAGATAAATCCTTATAAAGTATGCAAAATTGATGAGGAATTCGAAAAGGTTTCTTCCGGTTTAAACTGTAGATACCTAAACCCCTATATCGAATTAAAGCTTGTAGAGCTGGCTATCACACTATACCAAGAATTTTGAAATAAAATGAATTGTCGAATTTTTTACGACCTCTAAAATGTGAGCGTCTGAATCACCTTTTCAAAGCTACAAGTCAAAGCAAATTTCGTTTTCAGCTCACTTATTTAATTTGTCCCTCAGTTTCCGAACGCAAAGCGCTAAAAAATTGTGTCTGCGATTTGTCATATTCAATTTCGGTGAATAGTTACGGAACATTTTCGAAATGGGATTAAAAAAAATATGAAGTTATCGTAGAAAAATCGCTCTTGAAGAAAAATATTTGGAAATTAAAAATTCGCAGACATGTTTTTGGTGCTTTTATGTCAAACTAGCTACTGTCCAAATTTGAGGGCAAACGAACAAATTCCCTTTGACTTGTAGTTTTCAAAAGGGACCCAATAGATGATTCGAACGCTCACATTAAAGGTCATGGAAAAATTCGACAATTCATTTTATTTCAGAATTCTTGGTATGGTGTGATAGCCAGCTCTATAAGCTTTAATTTGATATGGGGATTAGGTATCTACAGTTTAAACCGGACGCGTTACATTGCTTAGACGCCAGACACCTCTAAAGGTGCTCTAAAGGTATACATAACCTTAAGAGGATTAAAATAGTTTTTTCTTTCACTAATTATTTTTTCTCATTATCAACAATAATTATGATTATTGTTGCTGATGTAGTCTCTACAAATATAGCTTGTTTCCCTGTAAAATAAAATCTACTTTTGGTTTTCTTAGACTAAGTGGTGGTTTTGAGATCACTTCGTGTGTATATATACCTAAACAATACAATTATTGTCTTGAAATGGTGGTGAAACATCTACCCTCGCCACGAGGCTACTATCCACTTTGATTGTAGAGAATAAAATTACTGCTTTAATTTTTTTTAGCCTTGAAGGACCCTTCTGTAAATCACTCGCTCTTTGTAAAGTCGGCATGCTCAATAAAGTTATTATCATTCATTAATTAATTGTTATAGTGATTCCATCAAAACAAAAAACAAAAATAAAAAAAAATTAAAAACTAGATAACTTCGATAAAAGCTTGGCCTCTTTATTTTGATATTATTTTGTCTTCAATGCGAGTCCTATTGCAAAGCTATTGACACCACAACGCGTTTCTACTCATACGGCTATGATTTTCAAACAAATCAAACGCTGTCGTAAGAATTTTTTCACCATTGGTTACTTCAAAACTAAGCTATTCTAACGGGTGGAGTTATCATGAAAGCGCATGATTGTTATTTGACTTGTTCCTCACAGCCAGAAATCGCTTCACAGCTGATCCTGTAAAGAAGTGGGTCGGGTGGCTGTCGAGGCTGGTAGGTTCAAAGCTGCGAGGTTCAATTCCCCAGTAGGATGAACCCTGCGTGTAAAGTAGCCGGTACAGCATATCATTTTCTTCATCTTCGCTCTGAATTGTTGATTCAACAGAGCATAAACAAACGGGTTAACAGCAGCATTAAACATGACCATCGTGTTAGCGATGGCCACTAAGGCGGGACCAGCAGACGTGAAGGAGTAGATAACTTGATCCGTGCCCCAGGAGATTCCAAATATAACACTGAGAGTTACCACCATCAAGGTGACACGCTTCCGTACCCTGATCACGCCCTAAGTATTGATAAATAAAAAATGTAATTCATTTGGGGGGAAAGCAATAAACATTTAGATCAACAGAAGAAAAAAAATGGGCCAAATAATATGTAATTACATAGTAACTTTTAGATACGTTTTGGTCTTCTACTCCACTAATAAAACAAATGAAGGTCGATCGCTAATCTGAAATTCCTCAATCTGTTTTTTATTACTTATAAAGGTAGACCTAAAGATTAGTGCGTCTCTTAAGTGGTTTTAAACTGAAATATGTTCTGCTTAACGAGTTTTTTATTTGCAGAAATTTAAGTGGACACTTACTCTTTGTTGGTGGTTGAGTTGGTAGTCATGGTTACGTTTGAACCACAGAGTATATACGACTCGCGAGTAAATCACAATCATCACTAAAAAGGTAAGGACTGTCAAGGCATTCCAGTTCTTCTGATAAGCAGTGTCCATCCACTTCTCAGGCCAATGAAACACACAGGAGCAACTTTTATGGTCAAATTTCAGAACCAAGAACGCCGGGATATTGACTGTCAATGAAAA